GCTGGGACCGCCGCGTCTTTGGGGAATACGTGCCCAGTAAAAACGAATGACGTGCTGCAGTGGGTGGTGAGTGGTGGGCGGAGAGAACACTAAAATCCCACCAATGCACGCATCCATTTGATCCACCCATTTTGTATATACATATCTACAATGTTATTCTTGTGCGAAGAATAAAGGATAAGCTACAAAGAAACTAAAGCTGAAGCTCACAAACCTTTTTCCTTTTATAGCAAGTATAGTAAGATATTTTAATTTGACCTTGGTTGAAAACTGCATGCCTGCTATAAATTTTCTCTTAAATTATTTGTGATGCTCTGGGAAATAAATTAATTATACATTCCATTTTCCATTTTGATAAGACCAGATTAGTTTTTCTAGAACAAAAATTATTTGAACTCGTGTTTGAAATTTTGTGAAGCAGAGGTATCTGCGGCACGTTGCAACATTTTCCAACAATTTTCGAACATTTTTGCAACATTTTTGATTTATATGCACCACGCTGGAAAAAACCCCTAATGCATATGCAGCATTTTGCATACGTTTCTAATAATTCATCTTCGTGTTTTGCTGCCCCTTCGAACCGCCCCCTTTTCGCCTCCTTTACAATCTCCTTTATCTCGATTTTTTCTTCGGCAGCTGCTTCTTCTTCTTCTTCAGCGCCGTGTGTAAAATTCTTTTTTTTTGGCGCAACTTCTGCTGCCTCAGCTCTCTGCCATTACCAATTTTTGCATATCTCTGTTTGTGCAGCTTTGAACCTTCACCTCTTGCCACGCCCCCTGTCTCCCAGCGCCGCCCCTCACACATCTTGGTGTGTGTGCGGATGTGTGTGTGTGTTTTTTTTAAGCTACATTTTGGAAAATTGGAAAATAGTTTTTCCGTTTGCGTCTTTTTAGCTATTTTCTGTTTTCGTTCTTTCTCCTTTCTTTTTATCGACTTATTGTGTTTGACGGAAATGTGCTTTGTCTGTCTCTGCACATGGCTGCCACGCCCCCACACACATACCCACATTTATCGGCAAAGGGGCGCAAAAGTAGAGGGAGTTACAATGACAATGGAAATCGAGTCCGTTGCCATTCGTAGATATGTTGCAAGTTGCGATATGTAAATGGAAAGGGCAGGGGATTAAAGGGGTCGGCAAGAGTTGTAAGTTTGTCACAGTCTCTCTTGAAATATCTGCCAAAAAAGTTCGATAACGTAATAATTTTTCAAGACTTTATTCTTCTTTAGTAAAGATAAAAATTCTCCTAATCAGCAGAGAAACTAAAAACATGTATAAGAAACAAAAGTAGAACACCTTAGCCCCTTAATGATATTTATTTATGCTATTCTGTGTGAAAAACTAAAATTATTTATTACATTTTGATGGGTATAAAGTACTTGCTGTAATCATTTTGCACTTAAGGCATTTTTGTAGCCACAAGTGCTCATCTATGCTCTCCATTCCTGTCACATAACTTAAATATTTCTGAACGGAAGAGCCAGTGGCTCCTCTCACTATTTTCCCTGGCAGTTGCCGGCGATAGCTTTATTTCATTTTGTACAGCTCATATTTCTCGAGTTGCAGACGCCGCTGCAGCTGCCACCCTTCGAAATAGTTTGAATGGCTAACTCCTTTCTGCGGCGGCATCATCTGGCCACATTTCATATTCGACATTCCCCGACTCTGAGCTCTGAGGCTCTGAAGCTCTGAGGCTCGTCGCTTCCTGTCTCGACACCGTTGGCTGTCGTCTTCTGCGAAGTGAACGTAGTAGAGCCCTAAGTAGTTTTTTGCTCGGTGGCATTTCCCATTGGCATTTCCCACTCGAACTTTCGGTTTGCCATGGAAAGAGGACTATTGATGGCTGGAGATGCCAGCTACTTTGGCAGCTGGCTGGCTTACCCTTCGACCTCCCCTCGCCCACTAGTAAAAGTATTTACGTTAAATTGAACTTTTGTGTTTGAATTTTCGTGCGGGCAACTTCACATTGCGGCTTGTCCTGTCTGAGTTGACTGCACATTATCCCAGCCATCCAGAGTGTCGACATTTTGCTCAACGACGCTAAGCTATTTTTATTAGAATTCCCTTACCAAAAAAAAAAAACGAGAAAAGCACAAAAAAGAGAAGGCGAGATTGCCGAAAGACTTTCAGCAGAGTCTGTCTGTCGTGGCAATTTTTGGTTTGCTCTTTGCGGGCCTGGAATTTCATTGGAATAATTAAAAATTATAAATGTGCATGCAACTGAGGCTCCCAACTGACCGCATTCCAAGCCAAATTAAAAGCCGAAAATTGCAGTTGAGAAGCATCAAGGATGCCGAGGATGCTTTCCCTCCTTTCTCTTTTTTGGATGTCGTTTCTGATGCTTTTAATTTGCCAGAAATGCTTAGGAAATGGAACAGAAATTAAATCTACATAAAGGTTTCTCGACTTGGCTCAACGGCTTTTGGCTTTTGAAACCTGTCTTACATGTATTGTAAGACCTTATCTAAAATTATTTAATTTGTTTTATACGTTTACAGCAGGTTCTTTAGTTATTTTAGCTGAATTCTTATCCCAAAAACTTTCTTTTAAACCTTTTGCAATCGTTACATTTCGATATTATTTTTCCATGAGGATGCACAGGGCGTATGCTTAATGTGAAATAACGAAAAGCGAAAAAAGCAAGCACAAGCTGAGTATAAGTCAAGCAAAGAAGTGCAAGCAGATGAAATATAAGGCATAAGTAGATATATGAGTGGCTGCTGTTCTGTTCTGCTCTGTTCTGCCTTTCCCATGCTTTTCCTCTGCTTTTCAGCTTTTCCTGCTGCCGCTGCTGCTTTTCTGCTAATGCAGCTTGTGATGATGCTGTGTTTAGGAAGAGCCAGCAACTCTGGAGAGTGAAAAATCCAAAGCCGGAAATGAAAAGTGGCATGTGTGAGTGCTCTGCACTTGTAGTAGTGGCTGAGGGGACAGTTGGCGGAGAGGGATTAGGTTGAATGTGGGCGAAAATGTGGGTGTGGCCATTTTGCAAAAGCGCAGCTGTAGCAACACTTTATCTAGTGTGTATGCGTGTGTGTGTGTGTGCGTGTTTGTCTATGTAATGAGGGCAATTTAAGGGCACTTGAAGCAATTCAATTCTCACACACACTCACACTCACACTCAAATGTCCTTCTGTCTACGTGTGATGTGAAGGGGGTGTGAAGCAGGAATGGGGAAAACAGACGTGGCAAGTTTTTAGTGTTATTAATATGCATGCAATGCATATGCTCAACGTCCACCATTCTCCTTTCCCATTATGAATATGTGTGTGTGTGTGTGTCAGTGCCTGCCGCCATTTTGCTTGATGCCGCCATTGCAGCAGCCTTTAACCCCTGTTTCCCCCCTCGTTTCCGGCGTGTCCTTTTTCGGGGGCAGCAGCTGCATCGAGTGCTCTGCCGCTAGTAATATTAAGTGCCCGCCTTCAACTGCATAACGAACTACGGGGCAGAGGTTATTAACCCATAACTGGAATACATGTGCTTAATTTTTTTCTCCCCTTTTAATACCCTTCCCTACCTCCCTGCCCGTCTGCCTGCCGGCTGAGCACTGGAAATTTCCTAGGATTAGACGCATTAATGGATTATTTGAGGGATTTGTTTCATTTCTATTTTCATTTTCATCGTTTTGCATTTGTTTTCGTTAGTTCTCGCCCATGTGCTGCTCAGCTGAGCTCGGATTTTTGTTGGTCTTTCGGTTTTTTTTATTGTTGACTAAATTATGCAGATGAGCTTAAGGAAAAGCTTTTAACGGAGTTAAAGTTGCGGTAATGCTGAAAATTTGCTTGCTGCTTAAGAGGATTTGAAAGTTTACACAAATTAACTAAATGCGCTATGAGTTTTGTCAATGTGGATTATAACTTTAATGTGTACTTAGAACATTAATAATTGAATAACACATTTGCCACAACATTTTTCTTATTTAATTCATTAATTTAAAATGTTATTAAGAGTGCTTTAATGCTTCTACAATTTTTTTAGACTTCACCAAAACTAAAGCTCTACCATTAAATAACATTTTTTTTTTTGCATTGTCCATGACGCTTAAAGAAACAAGCAAATGGGCTTCTTAACACATATAAAAGAACAATTTACCAAGGCGACAAGAAAAACCATTTTCCTTTCACAGAATTTCTAGGATGTACAAACGGCGAGGGGAAATGAGAAATGGGGTGAGACTTAAGGAGAAGCATAAATTCATATCGTTTATAACACGTCAAGCAAATACAATTAAAAATTATGCTACCAGACGACGGCTCCCAGACATACGAGTATATGTGTATTAAGGTGGGGTCCTTTGTTTATGTGTGTGTGTGAGTGCGTATTCTCAGTACGAATGGGGGTGTCTATGTGTGGGTTTAAAATTCTACTCAAAGTAATTTACACTAAATTACATGCGAACAAGCAAAATGAGAAAAGCCTACAAAGCTCTCGCTTATGTGTGTGTATTACTTTTTTTTTGTGTTTTTTCTGTGTGTGAGCGTTTGTATTGGTGGGTGTGCGTGTCACAGAAGAGCAACGGAAACGAAAATAATGAAGCGCGCTTTTGTGCGCACATAAGCAAAGCCAAGCAAAAACCCAAGGAGACAAGGAGAATTGAGTGGGGTGCCTAAAAGGAGCAGGGGGTGTGTATAAAAAGAAGATCCCGCGAAATTGTGCGTTGTGTCAAGATAAAAAAAAAACAACCCATAGGTACATATATATATTTTGTTATTCCTGGGGTTTTGTTCTAACCCTTTTCGTTTCCCTTCCATTTTCGCCATTTTGCGCACGTTTTGTAAATTTACTTTTCATTCAAATAACCGCCAGTGGGAGAAAAAAAACTTGCTTATGGAGCAAATCCACTTCTGAGCAGAATGCTCTGCTTCTAACGGGCAAATTTTCGCTTTAGTTGTTAATGAAATGTATACAAAGAAAATTAATGCAGAAGCACAAATGAAGGCAGCGCGAGTTTCTCTTCATTTGAGGGAAAATAAATTAAACAAAACCAGAAAAGGTTCAATGCTGATTTAATTGATCACCAACCTTTTTTCCCCATTGGCATTTTATTTGTGGAATCATTAAAGCGCTGACCTTTCACAGCCGAAAAGTTAATAGCATTACAATCACGACCTGAATTCCACTTCCTTTACCTGCTGAAAGCTGCTTAACTTCAAGAGCCGCGGTTTGGTTTGGTTGCCCTTTTTATTTTGTTTTTTTTTTTGCTGTTATATTGTCCAGTCTTCCTGATTATTTTAGCCCTTTAGCTTTGTTTTCGTTTCCCTTTATTTTCAACTCGTTGACAATTGTTTTCGGTGCCTTTTGCTCTCGATTTTGTCAAGCCGATTTGCGTTCCGTACTTTGGCCTTTTTAAATATACATTAATTTTTAATGCCCAATGACGATTTAATATTGAACATCCGGCGTTGTTTATCAGTCGAATGAGCCTACATATAGAAGGATATATTATATGTAAACCAATTTTTATTTGCATTTTATATTTTACGATTTCGCTTTTTTTTTTTTTTTTTTTTTTTTTTTTGGGTTTTGGCCTCATCAATTGCAGCTGCTGTCTGTTTGTGATGAACAAATTTCTGAATTATTAAATCGGCATCAAATTTCGTTGACTTTATTGCTTTGTTGTTGACTCAATTTCAGCCCGCTTTTGGATTTACCCAGCCCCTTTTCCCACTTTTCCCCACCGTGGCTCGTGCTGTAAATAATTTCTACCGTTTTCGTTGGAATTTTTCACTTGACTCTCCGCACTTTTCTGCAATCTGTTGATGATGGATCCTTATGCATTATACATGCGCCTCTGACTGATAGAAAATTCTCGGGAAATTTATGTATTTGTCATGAGTTCTGCGTAGATGAAGATTTCAGTTGACAGTTGAGCTGGGTTGCTGTATATCGGGGTATTAATTAAAGTCAAAAAGGTTGTGAGTTCCCGAGTCTGAGGCTAATGCATTTTTTATTGTTCTGAGACATTTTATCTTTAAGTGGCTAACTTACCCCCTACTGACCCGTTTCTCATTTCTTAAGTTTTCGCAATCGATCAGTTTCAGTACGGATTTGACTCCATTATATATTTCTCCCCACCTCCGCCCAATCAATATCTGACAAAAGTTGCTTGGCCTTAACTTTTGTTGATCTACTAATTGTGTGTGAAATTCAAGAATTTTGTATAGCTCAACTTTATGCAAACAGACAGGAGGAAAGGCAGCAGCTTGGGGGCATGTCAATAATAATTGCAGCACTGCAGGGCCACGCCCCCTTTGTACCGCCTCTCACCTGCCATTAGCCAGATTTGTCAGACTAACCTGACCAGCTCATGCATTATCCTTGGGTTTTGCTATTCAAATATTGTTAGCTTAACCGAGTTGTCAGTTCCGAGCCAATGCATTTGCCTTTGCCTTTGCCTTTGCCTTGCTATATATTTTTTTGTTCCCCCAACACGAAAGACAAACACCAGTTGCCCCCACTGCCCCTCTCACAACAGTGTGTGTAATTTCAGATTTTTTCTCCTTTTTTATTCTTTTTTTTTTTTGTACTTTGACAATGTTTGTACAGAAGCGACGGGATGGGGGCGTTCTGCTTTGGTTTCTATTCTGCTCGGGGTTTTCCTGCCTGCTCGTTGCCGGTTTGTTGTAACCTGGTCACACAAAGTAAAACCAGCAAAAAGAGAAAGAACCAGAACAAACAGTCATTCGATTGAATAATTTCAGCAGGGAGAAACGAGGCGGCGAGGACGAGAGACATCCTGCACATCACCATCATCATCATCAAAGTGCAAGAAGTGCATAAACTTTGGCCAAAGTTTTTATGCCATTTGCGATAAGGTGTAGACAGCACTAAAAATGTATGGAGAAGAATAGAAAGAAAAAAGGGATGTTATCCCAAAACTGGCGACCATATCGTCTGTCAATAATATTAAAACTTGATGAGTTTGTCGCCCAACCTGATTATAAATGGGTGTGATAATCACGCCCACAGCCGAACACCTGGTCATTTTGGTCCCATCCTGTCCATTGTGTAGCGGAAACATTTGCTGCCACATCCTGGCTGCCTTTGTGACTCCCTCTATCAGCACTTCCTTCATTTGCTGACAGGACCTCTCAGTCGCCCATCAGCTTTGTTGATTTTTCTCCATGTGTCGCAAAGAGTTCACAGCTTCACTTCACCGGACTGCTGCGATGTGTCAATAGCAGCAGAGGGCTAATGGAATTGGAATCGAAATGGAAATCGTCCAGGGGATTTTACAAATATTTATATGAAACTGCAATTGTTGTTCTCGCCTTTGTGGCGGTTAGTCTGTGCGGTGCGCTCAAATGATTTCGAAAGTGCTTAAACTCTTTAATCAGTTTTATGTGCTCTTTCTTTTAAGTGTTTACTTTATTTTAATATGAGTTTAATATTAAATTGAACAGAGAATACGAGAGGTTTAGCGGGGTTTAGGTTTTTAAGTAATAACGCATTTAAACTCTTTGCATACATATTTTGGATTTAAAATTTTCAAAGAGTTTATTAGCTGAATTTAAAATCTAATTGACTTCCATTAAAATTCAGACTTCAACACTTTTTTATTGCCACTCAAAGAAAATTAAATTGATTGCAGTGCTTTTGCCTTTCCTTTCAATTCATTAAGGAAAATAACCACCTTTGAGGACTAGAAATTGGTTTGTCATTTGAATAATTCCAAGAACTTCAGATTGCCGCTCACGTTTCTCGAATCCAGCTCGACAAAGAGCCTTTGCATACTTTTGGGCTTGGTCACATCAATTAAAACGGATTTTCCACCTCTAATTTGGGAGAAGTTTTGTGCGCTCCAGCATTTTCCTAAAGGAAAGTTGGTAACAAGCCGAAGGGAGAGTTAGTTGCCCAGGGCAGGTTCAACCCTCTCCTCGAGCTCGTAAAATGCTCAATGCCGAAGACACTGGGCGCCAGTCAAGTCATAAAACTGGCGGCCCTTATATACATTTGTATCTGTATCTGTATCTGGGTAACAGCACCGCATCTCTATCTCCTCAAAACTCTGTATCTTTTTGCGGCTGTGCGTGGCATTCAGTTGTTGAGTTATATGCCAATTGGCAGTTGCTTTCCATTTGGCCACATAAACTTTGCTGTTTTCCATACGCTTCCCAAGAAGCTTTTGCCCAAATCCTTTTCTCTTCGTCCTGAACAAGAAATAAGTAACCAGATGGGCTTTCTGTTTCGTTTCTGGCCATGAAAGTTTAATGAATCCCGCGACTTGGTTTCTTTTTTTTCGCTTTCTTCACGTCTGTCGCTGGCATAAAAACTCTTGACAGGATATTTTCTTCCGTTCTTTGAGAACGCGCTCCCTGTGCGCTCGTTTAATGTCGTCGCTTATGATGCAAAATTGTTGCTGATTCGTTTGATTTTTATTCCCTTTTTATGCGTAAATATCTCTCAACCTGCGGTTGGCACTTCAAGATACATTTTGACAGGGTGATGGGTATTTTTGTGGAGTGTACTTCTCCTTAAAGTAGTCCTTATTTTATGGTGACATTTACATTTCCGCTAGCGGAAAGTATTGCTTTATTTTTATAGAGTTTTCTTGCTTATCAGGTGTTTAACTAGTTGCGATTGCTAATAAAAGGGTATTCGAATTTATTACCAGAAGACAATTTTTAGGGAAAATGTTTTTTTTATATCCGAAAATTATAGGTCCCCATGACGCTAAAGTATTTTATGCTGATTTTGCAGCATTACGTATTTTATAGAGCGGTTACCAATCAGCCTTCTAGGTTTTAAACACCTAATTCTACATGTTAAGTTCCATAAAGTTTATTCTTGGTTATATGTAATCTTTCTAGTTTACCAAATAAATAAAAATATAGCTTTGGAATAACTAGTAGTACTAGTAATACTTTATGTCTTCACTTACTAATACTTTTCTCTATTTTCTGTCGTTTTAGGTAAGTGTTCCTGCAACATAAAGGATTTTTGTCGAAGGCTGGTCAAGTAGACTTGTGTGAAAGAAATACGTAAAAATGTTTTCCATAAATTTAAAATTCCTCTCATAACCCGTAAGAATAACAATAATTTTCCAACCTGTCGGATGCACATTTAAAGCTTAAAATGTACTTTTACACTCTGGTTTCTGCTGCGGTTGCTGTCTCGACCAGTAAATTCCCATTTGTTTTGGGGCCATCGCTCCGTTTTGGGCCCCCGATGGCCAACGGCATAGCCATAGCCATTGCCATCGCTCGCATACCATGACCAGGTACATTATCCATTAAACCAAACTGCCGGCCGCACATTTGTCAAGGCTAATTGCCAGGCCGAAGCCGAAGCTTCCCATTGGGGCTGACACGCCACGCACCTTCTCCGTGGCCGAAAACAACCAACGGCCAACAGCCAACAACCAACGGCCAAGAGCCAACGTCCAACGTCCGACATCCAATGGCCACCAGTAACCGGAGAGGATGCCCCAGAGTGCCTCACCGGCTTTTTGAATCCGACGAAGGCTGGCTCAGCAGGATACTTACTACATATATGTATGTAGACCGAACAGACACGCATTCTGTCTCGATGGCATGTTTGGATTTTTAATGGCCAACACCAGGAGCTCGCTTCTCTTAGATTTTTCGACAGAGATTTTCCCGTGCTGTAGAATTCCCTCATAATTTTTCCCACCGCACACACACACACAAGCACATACAGTTACGCACGCAGTCGAGGAAAATCGATTGAAACTTGTTGAGAAGATGGCCGTCGTCCTTCTTCTTCGATTGCCTGCATGTAATTTCATGTATTTTTAATGCAAGCCATGAAAATACATCAGACCAGGTTAGGTTATACCTACCTACCAGACCGCACTCGACAACATTAATCATGTTAATCGGCCTGCCTTTGGGCCCAGAACACCAGAACATGTGTACATCCTTTGGGCTTAGGCTGAAATCCATTTATTAGGGCCAACTAGTTAGTGCTCTAGGGATGGTCTGCACCCAGCCAGGCTAATAGTTTTTCTTTTTTTATAGCCTTTTCCAAATAAATGTTTATTCATGCATATAAATTATGGCACGCAATTTCTTAAAACGAAGTTATTTTCGAACCAGACTTGTGGCATAAAAATATTTAAAAGTTTTTATACTTGCTAATTCTTTATGAAGGAATAATAATACCATCTTTATTTAGGAAATTTGTTCAAACGAACATAACATAACATAAAATTATTCTACATTTGGAAAATCTATATTATAAAGTTTTAAAAACTGTTTTTAAATACATCTTAAAAGGTATGCTGAGATGCGATTTTAAAAAATTAGGGTTCGACACATTTTTGGGTTGTGCTCAAAAGGATTTTGTCATGAGCTAAATCCATGACAGCAAGTGAGATTTTTGCCTTTGCCTGTGGATATTTTTCAGTAGCCACTTACGGTGGGAGCTTAAGGAGGGGTAAACTAAAAGGGCGGTGGAGCCCCGCCCCTTTGATCCTTCCTTGCTGATGATGCTGGTTGAGCCGGGCTTGTGATTTAGATGCGGTGTTGCCATCATTGCCTCTGCCTTAAACAACAATGTCACCATTTTGGGCTATTTGGTGTGCGGTCCTTTTCCCCGCACCTTCATCCTTCCGCTTGCCATATCCTTTTTCAACCCACCGTCCCGCTCCTTGCCATGTGAAATGCCACCGAACATGAAAATTAGAGAAAGGTGAAATTGCACGAAATGAGTTTATACCTTGGCTATGCGTAGCCAAACATATTTACATGTCCTCAGGTGTGTGTACTTTATCCCCGTGTGCGTGTGTGCAAGGATTCTTTACATGCGTGTGTGATCGAAACAGAGCTGGAGGCATTACAGTGGCGTGGTTTGTTGGGGGGTTAGAGGTTATATTAAAAACTTTAGAAACCTTCAAAATACAATTATTTTAAAAATCATTGGACCCTTTATTTACTTAAATATATAAAAAAATGGTTTTGGATTACACTTTATCTTCAGCTTTATCAGTCTTTAAAACTGTTTAAACAGTCTTATCAACACCCCAAAAAAAATTATCCTTGATGTCTTCGTTTTTTCTTACAAAACTTTATAAGCCAGCTACCCCAACAATTTGGAAGTTTGTGCACCTAAAC